CCCTTAGATCCCAACAGTGACTGCTCTACCCTGACCCCAGGCCTTTCTGACTTTTGCCTATCAGGAGAGCAGGAAACCCACTCACAAAATCTTGCCTTGGAATAAAAGGCTCAGCCAAGGCTGGGTCCCACACATAGGCCTGCAAAGCTTCAGGGACGCTTTCCCTACTGAGCTATTTCTTCTTCCACTGGTGACATTGATACAGAGAAGGCAATAAAATGACAAACAGTATGCTTTCCCCACTGGGCCATTTCTTCCACTGGTGACACTGATAGGAGGGATTGAAATGATAGTGTTTCAAGGATGGGCCCGGGTCCCGGGGTCAGGTCTATTATCACTGAGTAGCTCCCAGCCAGCCCAGCCCTCTCCTCTCCTCACCTTCTCATGGGCATTGCCATACATACGTTCCAAAATGCTGCCTATACCTAAACAGATCAATGGAAATTTCAAGCGTATTCTGGGAACCTGGAAAGCCAAAGGGATATTCTTAGAATCCATGAGCTGTTGCTGGAGCAGGTAGGGAGGGTTTTGTTATTAATAACCTCTGTTGTGGTTCTTGTATCAAACTGCACCTTGACTCATTTTGGAAAACTTGAAAAATACATGCAGGCAGAAAGGAAACAGAAGCTCCCACTATGCCCATCATCCAGCGATAAACACACATTGCCCTCTAAATTTCTAGGTTTTTTGGCAGGGCACAGTGGCTCATGCCTATAATCTCAACACTTTGAGAGGCCAAGGCAGGAAGATCACTTAAGCTCAGGAGTTTCGGAGCAGCCTGGGAAACATAGCAAGACCCCGTCAATACAAAAATAAAACAAACAAAAAAATTTAGCCGAGCATGGGGGCACTCGGCTATAGTCCCAGCTACTTGGGAGACTGAGGCAGGAGGACTGCTGGAGCCCAGAAGTTCAAGGCTGCAGTGAGCCGTGATCGTGCCACTGCACTCCAGGCGAGATGATAGAGCAAGATCCTGTCTCTAAAAAAATTAAATTAAAATTAAAATCAATTAAAAACTGAAATGAGAAATTTCTGGTATTCTTGGTTTTTTTTTGTTTTTTGTTTTTTGTTTTTGCGATGGAGTCTCACTCTGTCACCCAGGCTGGAGTGCAATGGCGCAATCTCAGCTCACTGCAAGCTCCACCTCCCAGGTTCACACCATTCTCCTGCCTCAGCCTCCCAAGCAGCTGGGACTACAGCCGCCTGCCACAACTCCCAGCTAAGTTTTTGTATTTTTAGTAAAGCTGGGGTTTCACTGTGTTAGCGAGGATGGTCTCGATCTCCCGACCTCGTGATCCGCCTGCCTCGGCCTCCCAAAGTGCTGGGATTACAGGCGTGAGCCACTGCGCCCGGCCAATTTCTGGTATTCTTCATATACGCATAGATATATTTATGCTTTTTCAAAATGGGATTGTACAGTGGTGCTATTTTGTAACCTGATCTCTTCACATATCCACTGCAAATATATTTCATGCCATTAAATAGGCTCTCACACCTTCATTTTTAATGACTGCCACTGTGTGCAAGCAGAGACATGCCCCAGTCAATTTGTTGTGTTGTTTCTTCCCCATGCCTGTGGTTCTGCAACTTAAACCATTGCCCACTCTAAAAAAGTGCCAAGGTTTAGCCAATTAGAAGCTCTTCATTAAAAACCAAAAGGGCATCTGCAGCCCTCCAGAGGGTGGGCCAGTGTCCTCATTCCTCTGAAAGGTATCTGTGTTGCAAATAGCAGCCTGGCCATTAGCCAGCGAGGCTGTGCATGTGGAAAAGCCTGGCCATTAGCCAGCTACAGGCTGTGCACGTGGAAAAGGGGACTGGTCGTATTTCCCTGTGGACTTCTTTAGAGAGGCTGAGCTGCTTAAAAGATTTTTTCCTTTAAAAAGAAGAAAATGTTTTGTAATTGTTTGCAAGTGCTCACAGGCTCAGTGACAAAACGAGATGGAACCCTTGATTTCTAACCTCCTGCTGCACTGTTCAAAACTCCTCCCAGAGAAGCAAATAGGAAGCAAAGTGAAGCACTCTACTGTAAAATTTGCATCCTCCCTTAGCCAATCCTGGTCCCAAAGGACTCCACATCAAACTGTACTTGTTTGTAAAGATCTTTCACTCAAGACAGACCACTTCTCAAGACACTGCTGATGTAGAAACGAGACAGTCCAAAGGGAGAATTTAAAATATTGAGAGCCTCTAGGTAAAAATATAAATGGATTTAAGGACAGCCGGGAAACCCTCAATGGATGATCTTGTTCAGAGCTCCAGTTAGGTAAATATAGTAGGAAAAGCAGCAGCAAAGAAAAGCTGAAAGGTGTTAATTAATGGAATGTGTTTGTTCAACATGCTTTTAGGGAATACCAATAGTATGGTAGGCACTGGGAATCAGAGATAAACAAAGCTTCCATTTCTACACCCAAGGAGTTCAAGGTGCCATTTTTTTTTTTTTTTTTTTGTCCCCAGGTTGGAATTTAGGGTCACAATCTTGACTCACTGCAACCTCCACCTCCCAGGTTTAAGTGATTCTCCTGCCTCAGCCTCCCAAGTAGCTGGGATTACATGCATCCACCACTACACCTAGCTAATTTTGTGTTTTTAGTAGAGATAGGTTTTCACCATGTTGGCCAGGCTGGTCTCAAACTCCTGACCTCAGGTGATCCACTCACCTCAGCCTCCCAAAGTGCTGGGATTACAGGCATGAGCCACCGTGCCTGGCCCAACAAATATCTGAAATATGGGGTGACCAATGTGGTGCCTGGGCACATAGTGCAAGGCATGTGACAACACAGAGGTGTGACCCCCTTCCTCTGCCTGGTGGCACAGGAAGGTTTCTAAAAGGAAGGAAAGATGGGACTGTGTGGGCCGTCGCGTGCAGCGGGGCAATCTGGAAGAAGCAAGCAGAGGGCATGGGGGCATGGCACGGCAGCGTATGCTCTCAGCACCATACCTGGTCAGGTAGAACTGAAGCATGGAGAGGCGGCGCCTCAGGAGGTGAACCCGGTGAGGCCCCCAGGAGCTGGATCATGATGTGTCCTGGGTCTTGAGGAGAGCAGTGTGGGCTTCGCCCAGCAGGCAGGGGGAGCGGTGGGGTCGTCGGCAGGCACATATTTGCTCCGCACTGGAAAGGTTCCTTCCAGATAGTATGCAGCTTGCTAGATTGCAGCAAGGGGCAAATAAAGAGACTCATAAGCATTCAGAGAAACGATGTGGCCTCAACAAAGGACAGTGACAGTGGGAGTGGAGGGGGGAAGCAGTTCAGGTGATGAGATGGACCCAGCACGGCTCAGTGACCAGTTGAAATGGGGCAGGGAAATAGAAGGACATGAAAATGGCAAGGAGCAAGTCATCTAGAGCAAGACCTCAAAGAGGCCAAAGAGGACTAACTCTGGGTCAAGATGATTGAGAGGGAGTGCCTTCTTTAGGCATGAGGAAGAGGGAGGCAACAGCAGTTGTCAAAACAGATTCTAATCAGTGTTGAAACAGATGTGTTTGCAGAAGGCAGGCAGGTGAGGGAGTTCCTGGGAGCCGCACCCTGAATGAAGCCAGTGCAGACAGCTAAGAGGGAGGAAGGCGGAAAGAGGGCGGAAGCTTGAGGACCAAGGTCAACACTAGGAGTGGCTAGTGAAGAGCAAGGCAGGAGGAAGTGGCCTTAACACTGAAAGGTATCAGTTAACTGAGGCCCAAATGAGACCAAGTCCAGCTCCATGAATGCTACGTCCTCCAACAGGGCTCGGCAGACCGGCAGAGAAAAGGAGGGGGGTGAAGAATGGACGCTGGCTTGAAGATTCGGCCATTTGAGTAGGGGATGGCCATGGTCCCCTCCATTCAAGGGAACTGAGGTTGTAGATGAGGAGGTGACCACAGTGCTGCCCAGGAAAGGAACTGAAGCCAGGAAGGGTAGAGAGAAACAAGAGGTCCAGGGCTTAGGTCTCTATAGAGCAAAGATGGCGAGTAGGACCAACAGGCGTTGGGGAGCTAGAGGACCGGGGCTGTAGTCTGAAGTCGGCATGTTTGCAGACTTCCAAGGCTGGAGCGGCCTTATCGATGGCAGGTGACTGTGGGAGCAGGTGGCTGAAGTTGGGGGTGGACTTGTGTTTTTCAGTGTCCGTGAAGGACAAGGACCAGCGGAGGGAGGAGGGTCTGTATGAGTGTCTTCCCGCTTCCAGGCTGGAGCACACTCCTCACCAGGCATCTGAGCTGAGGCTGAGCTGTTTAGCGTGCCCCCAGGGGATGGGAGAGGCTCTGAGGAAGCGTTGGTGCCTGGGGTAGAGGACAGTCATGCTCCTGGAGGCAGCAGAAGAAAGATACTCATCTCTGGGGGAGACCACAGGCTCCCATGGGGGTCTAGAAGCTCCTAGAGACCACTGGGGAATTTGGATGCAGCCAATATCCAGTCTGTTCAAGGAGCACAGGTAGGCTCACAACAGGGCATGGTTGTGCTTCCCACCTAATGCTCCCCGGACTGTCAGAGGACAGGGCGGTGCCAAGCTGAGTCAGTGGCCTGAGGGATGGGGAAAGTCCCTTCGTGGTGCAAGGCAAGGCTTGCCTCACACCCTCACAAAGCTGAGCGGTTTCCAGAAGGGCTAGTTGGCGGCCGAGAAAGAATCTGACTCCCAAGGGCCTCTCCCTAGAACTGTGACTGCCAAACGCTTAACCTCCAGGTGTGACAAACAGCCCAGGTAACCAGTGCATGGAGCACTGTCATTTGAACCACATCACCCTCCCAGGAAGCTCCAAGCAGTTAACATTTCCTTATAAAATGTTAACTCTGCACGTGGATTCTTATGACATGTCCTTGGCTATTTCCATCACTCGGGAACTGGTGTTGCCATAATCTCTTTTTTTTTTTTTTTGCGCAGCTTAGTTTGAATTCCCGACGCCTTGGTATGGGAGAGCGGAGCATGTCTTTTCATTCAGGGATCACTTGATATTTTGGAGCAGCAGGCCGGGGGTGGAAGGGTGCAGGCGTCCTGCGGGGCGCCCAAGTGATGGGCCCTGGCCTCCTACAGGTGCGCACAGGCGCTGCTGGAGCACGGGGCCTCGGTGCAGCGCGTGGGCGGCAAGGGCCGGGACACGCCGCTGCACGTGGCGGCGCAGTGCGGCCTGGACGAGCACGCGCGCCTCTACCTGGACCGCGGGGCGTACGTGGACGCGAGGAACGGCTGCGGGGAGACGGCCCTAAGCGTGGCCTGCGGGGCGGCGCGGAGACCCGATGAGCACGGGCGCTGCCTGCGCCTGTGCGCGCTGCTGCTGCGGCACGGGGCGGAGGCGGACGCGCGCGACGAGGACGAGCGCAGCCCACTGCACAAGGCCTGCGGCCACGCGAGCCACAGCCTGGCGCGCCTCCTGCTGCGGCACGGCGCCGACGCGGGCGCGCTCGACTATGGCGGGGCCTCACCGCTGGCCCGCGTGCTGCAGACTGCAGCCTGCGCGCTCCAGGCTGCACCGCAGCGCACGGTGCAGGCGCTGTTCAACCACGGCTCGCCCACTGTGTGGCCCGACGCCTTCCCCAAGGTAAGGCAGGATCCGGCAGTGCGCTGCAGTTTTGCCACTTAGTGACCGGCCTGGGAGCTGGGTTGCATGGGGCGCTCTCAAACTGTAATGGCCCAGGCACCCCTGGGGACTTGTGAAAATGCAGAATCTGCTCAGTGGGTCTGGGGTGGGAGAGCCTGCATTGCTAACAAGCTCCCGGGTGTGGCCTAGACTGCTGGTCCTGGGACCCCATTTTGAGGAGCGGGAGCCTAGAGGCCTTCTGATTAGAGCCACTGGAGAATTAAGGGGTTGCATGTCAAGAATGCATCCTTTCAAATAGTCACCTGGGGACGGACGCCAGGCACTTATTTCGATGATGCAGTCAGAGCTCAAAATATTTTGGCAGCTCTCTTTAGGTATAATTTTCAGAACAATGAAAATCAGTCTCTTGCCGCATCTGGCATTTGATGTGAAACGAAATTACCCAATCTGATCATCCACCTTGTTAATGAGAGCGCTTCGTACATTTGCAGACTTCTCTCATTCGGTCCTCACCACATTGCAGTGAAACACAAGAGGCAGGTGATATTCTCCCTCCACCTGGGGTTCGGCCAGGTAAAGTGCCCTGCCCAGGTCATTGCAGTGTTGGGACCTCACCCCCATTCTGATGGCTCACCCTTGCAGACTTGACTCTGAACAACTCATCCTTGTTCCACCCGTCAGATCTACCCTGAAATAATAACGATAGGCCGGGCGCCGTGGCTCACGCCTGTAATCCCAGCACTTTGGGAGGCCGAGGCGGGCGGATTACGAGGTCAGGAGATCAAGACCATCCTGGCTAACACAGTGAAACCCCGTCTCTAATAAAGAATACAAAAAATTAGCCGGGCGTCGTGGCAGGTGCCTATAGTCCCAGCTACTCGGGAGGCTGAGGCAGGAGAATGGCGTGAACCTGGGAGGCGGAGCTTGCAGTGAGCCGAGATCACGCCACTGCACTCCAGCCTGGGCAACAGAGCAAGACTCCATCTCAAAAAAAAAAAAAAAAGAAAGAAAGAAAAAAGAAATAATAATGATAAAGAACAAAGATTTCTCACCTCAGAAAATACCCAAAAGACTGAAAATGTTTCCAAAATATTGGTTGGAGTAAGAGGTTGTCCTCCCCAAAAGACTTCATTGAAGGGGTCATTCCATTAGATGTAAAACCCGGATGTTTTTCATTTAAAATTATCTCCATCAACCAAGACTCATCACTCATAGGCATAAGACATATTTTGGCTTGATTAGTTTTGAACAAATAGCTGAAAAGCTAACATGCAAAAGGACAGTGTTCTCAGTGGTCTGAACCATCAAGAAGTGAGATTCACACATTTCTCTCAAATGCTAACTTTCCATTATAGATGCGTTCAGAGTAAAGACTCTATCTAGGAAAAGTTATAAAATCCCCCAAAACAACTCCCCTCATGTTTCCTTACTTGACAAACAGGATGGCACTTTCCCGGTGCTATCTCACCCCCTCTATGGGTAATTGTCTTGTGGTGTTCCACTAATGCAGTGATTTCAATATGGTGGACTCCTGAAAGGGAAGAAATGCGAGCATTTTTATGTTCTGTGACAGCTACCTTTTATATTTATTATTTAAATTTTAATGTTTCCCATCATTATACATGGAAACAAGACTCACCCACTGCCCTTCCCATGCACGTTATGTCTGAATTAAACCAACACACACTTCAACCCTTGTCATATGAAACTGCATAAAGAATGAAAAGAGGCCAGGCATGGCGACTCACACCTGTAATCCCAGCACTTTGGGAGGCTGAGGCAAGAGGATCACTTGAGTCCAGGAGTTCAAGACCAGCCTGGACAACACAGCAAGACCCTATCTCTACAAAAAAATTTTTTTAAAAATTAGCTGGGCCTGTTGGCATGCACCTGTAGTCCCAGCTACTCAAGAGGCTGAGGCAGGAGTATTACCTAAATCCAGGATGTGGAGGCTGCAGTGAGCTGTGATAGCAACACTGCACTCCAGCCTGGGTGATAGAGCAAGACTCTGTTTCCAAAAAACAGGAATGAAAAGAGAAAACAAACTTTACAGGATGGGCCACGAGGGGAAAATATCTGGGGCAATTTTTTTTTCTGACTTATTTCTCCAGGACAGAATGGGGCAATGTATTTTAAAGAAAAAGAAAGGAGTCAGTATATTTCAGTAGTGACTACAAGTAATCCTTTGTTAGCCTTGAAGTTATTTCAATGTGAGTGATCTCTGACCAGGCTTTCAAGTCCTAGGGGCAGCCCCACAGGCATCATTTCTTGGAACAGGACCTCTGACTCCTGGACTCTGTTCCCAAGGCTGTAGGAATTACCCTGCCTTGACTAGAGATGCAGGACAAAGCACAGTGCCTCCTCTCCGGGTGTTCAGGGGCCCTGTTCTGGGATGGGATCCCCAATACTATGTCAGCCACACAGGAATGGGGTCAGTCAGTGATGCAACTCATCCTCCATTCAGGTTGGGGGTAGGTTTAGATTTGGGGGACAGTTTGTTCTGGAGAAATCTTAATACCTTGAGGCTTTTACCAAAAAGCATTGCCCACCACTGCCTCCCTGAACATAGTGCCCGCAAGTGCCGACCTTCCACCAGTGTTTGCTGAATGAATGAAGGGATTCCAGCCACTCCGGGCTCATGGCCTGCACTAAATCTTTGTAAATAAGGAGTCCACCTATTTGCACGGGGATTCCCCCAAACCTCCAGCGGGTACCCCTACACCTGGCCAGGAGAGGATGGCATATGGGGACGCATTCACCATGCTGAGAATCCCCTAAGCAAAGGCAGCAGTGCCTGTCATGTTCTAGCCTTGTCCTCACAACCGAAGCAAAACACTCTGGAAAGCTAGAGGCAGCCTCTTCCTCCACCCAGTCTCCCTGCAATCGCTCCTCCAGGGACAGCATCTAATCATGTGCGACATCAAAGCAACAGACCCAACAGACGCTGCAGCCGGCCACAAAGATGCTGGGCAGGCACCACACGGGCGCCATGGCGAGGCGAGCGCAGAGCCACCAGCACTGTCACAGGGCACGCCGTCCGTGGGCAGCAGCCGTAGTGTGAATAGATGTAAAGAGACACCCATGGAGCACAGAATTACTGAGGCAAAAGGTTTCACAGCGAGCTTATGACATAAATCACAGCTCCCCATGCCCAGACAAAGGCACCATCGCCGCGGCAGGCGGACACAGGGCATCCTTCCGAGCCGGCGCAGTGCTCTGCACTGAGAATCAAAGCAGTGTCACGGCTTCGGAAGCCCGCATGTTGACAGTGCCAGGCCTTTCTGCCCGGCTGACCGCTCGTTAACACTGGGGGCAGGGACAGGGCGTCGAGGGCAGGCACAGGGGGCAGGCTGTGGATTCTGGCAGGTTTGGATTCTGGAAGGTGTCAGGACAGGCTGGGGCTGGGCCTGTTGGGCAGCAGGCAGGAAGGCAGAGAAGCGCACACAGATGTGGACCTGAATTTGTTTGGCACCTGCCACAGGTGACTTTGTGGGCTGGATGCTTGGTCTGGATAAAAGGCTGTGCTTAGGGGTCTCTTTCCTTCAGCCTCTCCTTAGCTGGAAGACAAATGTGTGAAACAGTCATGAAGTCCCACGTGATCTTTTTCCAAGGAAGCACTACTTTGCTCTTCTCACCTCTTTGAAGAGCATATTTTTGGTTCCACCCCAGAAAATGATGGAGTATCAAAGAGTGTGGGAAGGTGTAAGTCTAGCCCCGCTCCAAGATGGGACACAGAGCTGATGGTAGCAGCACCCAGCCAGGGCTCACACCCCTGCCCTCCCCTGCCTCCTTCACAGGTGTTCATTTGGGAACCTCCTTGATTCACTGGCTCAGTTTACATGGCCAGCTCTGTTTGTCCCTGGATGTCACCTGACGCCCGTCCATGAACACTTTTCATTCCCAGTCAGCATGCGTAGCCAGCACATTCCGGCCCCTCCTACCTTGTCTCCTATTTTGTGCTATTTCCCAAAGGCCCTTCTGTTTCCTGCGGTGCAGAGGCCAGCAGCAGCCCGGGGAAGCGCACCTGCAGGTGGCTGTAAAGAGTTCAGGCTCCCACCTGGCAGAGGAGATGCCATGATCACAAAGGTGGTTTTCTCAGGGTGAGACTTCTGGATTGCATTCCAGGTCTGATGACCCGCACGGTTTTCCCAGATACGAGAAACTCATAGATGCAGAAACTGCATGATTTGTGGTTGAGAGGGACTGCATTTCCACTTTCCCCTGTGTAAAAATGAAATACTAATAATACTTCACACTCAAACTTGTCCACCAGTCGGGGACGTGCAGGGACAACACCAGTAATGAACATTTTCCCCCAAGTCATGTAGGCATTGGCTGTGCTTCCCACGGGCATCCCTTTAGTACTTATGTATTCATTCCACAAACATTTTGGGGGAACTTGGGTGCTTGGTACTGGAGTCACGGGGAGGAGCAGGAGCATACGTATTTCCCACCCTGGTGAGGCTGCTTGTCACGTGGATCAGCCAAGTGCACACACCAAGGTGAAGTTGCTGTGGTGAGAAGTGCTGCAAAGCACAGAACAGGGGTTTCACCTGGCTGGGGGGCAGGGTCCAAGGCTCCCTCAAGTGTGTGATGAGTGAGCCAAGATCTGAAGGCTGAAGGCTCAGCTGTGTGAAACGGGACAAACATTCTAGACAAACGTCCTGGGCAAATGTCCTGGAGCAGGACAGGCACGGTTGTCCTGTGCAGTTGGAAAAATGACCCAGTCGCTGGAGAGGAAACAGCTAGGGGGCACCAGTTGAGACTAGGTAGCCAAGTGGGGCCTTAAGGGCCTGGGCCTCTGACTTGGGAATATTAGGAGTTGATTACATAATTTTCAAAGAAGGAGATTACATCATCAAATCAGTATTTTGGAATTTCTAAGCTCAACGTAGAGAACACACAAGGTAGGGGGTGGTGGTGGTCCAGGTGAAGGATTCACATAGCTCGCATGGGCGATGGAGGTTGATGCAAGAATAACAGACTCTAGGCCAGAGGCA